TGCAAAACTCAGTCCACAAACATGCGGTTCAGGTGAATGGTATCAGAGGTGAGCTCGGTTCGCTTCTTTGTCTACTTACGACAATCCCGAAGATAAAGTCTGACAATATGGATGCAGTCGGCGAGACAAAACGCTCCGAGACCGCCGTCTCCATTTTTAACCTCCAGCCCAGCCATATATACCATATATGTGTAATCGCAATCAGCTCGGCCAATTTCCAGACCTGCAGCTCTGTTCTCCATATCCGCACCGGTCCAGGACCATTCCCTCCCGAACAAGCTCATGAGAACCGTGGACCTCCTCTTATCCAGGCCTACGTGCCCAAGGCTGCCGCAATTGTTTCTCCCTCTGCGCCGGTTATGTCAAGAGAACAAAGTGGGGGCACAGCGCAAGCCAAACGTTCTGGTGGAGGAAGAAGATCGATTGGATCAACCTCCGTTCAAGACAGTGGCGTTCCGCAAATGCTAGACGATGGAGAGGCCGCAGGAGCCGAATTTGAAGGTTCATTAAAGCAACTAGCTGAAAGGCTGAAAGCGCTACAGCAAGAAAACGAGTCTCTGGATAAGCAGCTATCTCAAGAAGAAAAGGAATACGAGCAGCTTCTGCGTGAACTAGAAGACCAGAGAAATGACTTAAAACAGCGAGTCAAGGAGAAAGATGATGCTACTGGTGATCTGCGGAAACACATCAATAAACTAGAAAGCATCAACCGGACCGTTCAGAATGAAAAGAGCAAACGGGAAAAGCTCCTGCAGCAGAAAGAAGCTGAGAGGAAGAAGCGAAGAGAGGACATCGTTAGATGGAACGAGAGAGAAATCGAGATCAAGGATGAACTCGCCAACCTGCAGAAGGAGAAAACCCGCATTGGCGAAGAGTCCACTACCAAATTAGAAGAGTACCGCCGCAAGATTACAGAGGAGCAAGGAGAAATGAAGCAAATCGACGAAGATATCAAGGTCACGGGCAGTCGTATCAAGGCCCTGGAGGAGGAGAGACGGCGTCCCGAAGGAGAAGACAATGAGGAAGGCAGAGAGTTGGAACGGGTCGAGAGGGAACCCGAACATTTCTGGGATGGAAAAATGGCTGGCCTCCGTTCCCAGTATGCGTCTCTCATGAACGTACACACTCAAGTAGGTGATGAGGCGATATGCAATTTCATCTTTTCCATAAAGACAATCACCATTCTAACTCCCCTACTAGGCCCTGCCGCAGTACTATGAAGCTCAAGACAGACTGCAGTGGACAAATGCTCAATGGGGCAATGCCCCAGGGCCATTTGGCCCAATTGCTACTCCCGACCTAAGTCTTAACAGAAGGACAAGCAGTCGTAGGCGTAATCGCCATCGAAGCTCCCTTACTAGCAATATGTCGTCGCCTGTCAGCTTTCCCTTGGTTGATACGGCGTTCTCGAACCCAAACTATGGTCAGGTTGGAACTAACTCGCCGACTTTCACATCCGGCCCTGCTTTTTTCAACATTAATAATGGGATGACCATCCCAGATCCGACAGACGAAACTAGCCCGGTCCGTACTGATATTGAAAATCCACCCATGAGCCCCCGTGCCGATGCATTACTACCTTCTGATCTTCTGGGAGACGAAGAACAGAGTATTGGCGAAGATTCCGAAATCACTCCTTTTCCTACTTCGATTCCTACCGTCCCTACTTCCGTGGCTCCCACTGCCCCTTTTGAAGGACTCCTGCCCAACTCACCTTCACCGCTCTCATCTGGCAGCGATCCCACAAGTATCTTTGCAAGTCCCCACGGCAGTTTAAATAATCTTCATGACACTGATCGCAATACAGCTCAAACCACCGTACCCGGGGCATCTAAACCCCCTCCTAGTGGAGCTCAGAGCGCATCCCGGAGGCTATCGGGACTGTTTGGTTTTAATCGCCAGAGGGGCAAGACCATGGCTGATGGACCTCCGTTGCTTGGGAGCCTCAAGACTGGTCAGAGTCAGTCATTTCCGAGAAACCTGGATGACGAGTTTGACCCCATGGGCACGAGACGCCGTCGTTTGAGCTATACCACAAATTGGGCAAATCCAATGACTACGCTCTTCCCACGTAATAATGCATCTCATCTCACAGGCGATAGCTCGTCTGACCGCCTACCTGCTGGAAGACGGGCAATGTTCCCTAGCTTTTTCACCTCCGGGAGACATGGATCCGGTGTTTCCCCTAACCACAACCAGCCTTCACTTAATTCCCCAGATGCAAGCAAAGGGTATAATCAATTCAGTCCTCGCCATGATCCTATTGATCCTTCTATTCTTGGAACTGTTCGACGAAATTCCCTATCTCCCCGCCCATCATCAACATACTCGTTTGAAAACGCCCTTCCACTACCGACCATGGAGAATCAGCCGTTTGGATGGCCCTCCTCCGACAAAGCTGGCAGCTCCGGACATGATTGGATATCTCCGAATGCATGGTCACGGAACCAGTCTCGCCGCCCCTCAATACAAGTAGGTTCAACAGGCCATCTACCCCTCGGTCTACCTACTGAATTAGAGTACGATGAGACTCCATTTGAGCCCCAGAGGCCAATCCAGGCTCCCATCGGAACTCGACCTCCATCATCCCACCGCCCCGTTACCCCAAAACTAAACCCTGCCGCACCTTCCTTCACAACCTTTTTTGGGAAGAAACTCGATAGGCCAAAATCAAAGGATTCGGAGCCTCCGAAGTCCCGTGAGGGTGAATCCACGCATGAGGAATTGTCACCACCCGCCTCTCGGCGCTCCAAGGACGCTCGATCCATTGGAACAGCCACCACCGAGTCTCACGAATCTTTAGAACAAGTTCCCTCTACTACTCCGTCTGAGTCAGTCAGCACAAAGGAGTCATTTATCCAGAAACTGACCCGCAAAGGAAGCTCGAGCAAGTTTAACATGCCCTGGAAGGATCGGGCCAGCCTCTTCTCTAAGAAAGGGGACTCATCCGGACAAGGTGAAGCTGACGGTGATGGCACGAGTGAGATGCAGCTGGGTAAAAGTAACGAGAGTGCTATATCACTTGGTGATAAATCTGGAGAGAAATCTAGCAAAGGAAGCCTCGGGTTTGGATTCAGGCGCAAGTCAAAGAAGACGGATAAAGCGCCGAGTGAATCCAGTGGGATAGCGAGCGAAACGGGGGATGAGTCAGTATCTGAAGATACATGATATATACCCCCCTTTTTTTGGAATAGAAATACCGTATTCCTTGATGAATACACAATACTGTCCATAGCTGAACTCATTCAATATTTATTTCCATTGCTTGATGAAGTCGTTAGAATTAAGTTAGTTGGCTGGTTAACTAACTAGTTAGTTAACTATGACTAAGCCCCGCGCTGATATAAATATTCTTCTTATTGTTTGAATTCTCTAATGATGTCCAACGAAAGTCCACAGGATATCTAGAACCGTATATACCTATATATGAAGAGCTAATTATCCCTAAACCCCCTCAGAAATGGCTAATTCAAAGTATGGCACTGCTATCTACTGGTATTCCCAGCTAACAACATCATAGGTACGAGTATGTCAAGAATTTTGAGCAAAGTGACGTGCTTCTGCCAAATACCTGGATTGTGATACGCATTGATGGACGCGGCTTTCACAAGTTAGTTCCTCAAATTCAATGTCAATACCCAGAATACTCCAGTATTTAGTGGTTAATCAGGTGTACTGAGCCTTAGATGAGAGCACTATTGCTAATCACTTGATAATAGACTGTCGGATAAATATCACTTTGAGAAACCAAATGATCTCAGAGCACTTGATTTGATGAATTCAGCAGCCCAAGCCGTTATGAAAGATATTCCTGATTTAGTCATTGCATATGGTGTGAGTGATGAGTTCAGGTAAGGAGGCGTTTTCATACAGACAGGTATCTATGTCGGCATCTTCAACTGACCTTATCAAGTTTCGTTTTCCATCGAAACTGTTCGCTGTTTGAGCGAAGAAGCAGGTAAAATTCGTTTATACCCTTTGAACTAATACCAGAAGACTAACCTCATTATCTGTAGTAAACTGGTGTCGACCATAGTGTCAACCTTTACAGCACATTACACATATAAATGGACATCGTACTTTCCAGACACGCCGTTAGAGCCTAACTTTCTTCCTACGTTCGATGGGAGAGCTGTCCAATACCCTAGCATAAAGAATCTAAGAGACTACATGAGCTGGAGACAAGTTGATTGTAAGGCTCAATTTTGACTAACTGGAAAATCAAATTTAGCAAAGAAGCGTACTAATCGACGCAAAGGCCACATCAACAACCTGTACAATACCACATTTTGGAGCATGGTACTAAAGGGTGGGATGAGAAACCGGGATGCAGAGCAAGAATTAAAGGTAAAATATACTGACCATGGCACACTCTTTCATTCAACCTTTATGGTTCGGAGGCTTTAATGTTGAACGCACATCAATAGGGCACTGTTTCATCCGATAAAAATGAGATCCTTTTTTCGAGATATGGGATCAACTATAATAACGAACCCGAAATATTCAAGAAGGGGAGCGTTTTGTTCCGAGATGTGAGTTTCAAAATGTTTGATTAAGTCTATTGCGACCACCTGCATGTCTAACGTAGTAGATGGGTAGTATGAGTTGGAACAAGTTAAGAATACCTCCAGCGCGAAAGTGTCCGACGATGGGGAATGGGAGGACACAAAGCTGTCCAGGACCCAGTTAGACAAGCAACAGAAACTACGAAGGAAAGCCGACATAGCGATAGCCCACGTCGATATTATTAAGGATGAGTTTTGGGAGCAACGTCCGTGGCTATTATCAAATATACCAGGGAAACTTCCAAATAGCAAACAAAGCCATGAAACCTGAAAATATAAGATTCAATGCAAATGGGGTATCTATTTCATCAACTGTCGCTATTAACAAGCATGAAAAAGGCTAACACTCTATACCGATCCTCTCTTCTAATTAGTGTACGATAGGTTGCTGGCCCATGAGAAATCCATGACATCTAAGGGTCATTGAACCTGTAATTAATCTTTACTGCTTCTCTTCACTTTCCTATGAGTCTTTTTCTCGCCTTTCTCCTTCTCCTTCTTCTTCTCCTGTTTCTTTTCTATTCTAGCCTTCTTAGCAGCTCTTCTTCTTTCCCGCTCTTTCTTTGGAGAATCTTCATCCGATGATTGATTGGATGTTCTCGGTTTTGTGTGAAGTTCAGTAGCTAGAGCTTCGGCCTGCCGCCTTTTCTTCTCTCTTCTCTCTTCCTCTTTCCTTTTACTTCCCCCTGATATCTCTTCTTTCATAGACTCCACAGTTTCAATGTAAGGGGTTTGTTCCTTATGGTCCTCCTCTGGTGGGGTGGCAATACCACAGATGGCTAGCCTTTCCTTCTTATCCCTACTCTTTTTCTTCCTTTCTTTCTTTCCTTGAGATGCATCGACGGTAGGTGATGCTTCTATATTTTCTCGTTTTCTCTTTTTCTTTTGGTTTGATGTGCCACTATTGACAGAGCTGGAAGAAGTATCACCATCTGGGCGTAATGATTGTAAGGGTTTGCTATATTCATTCGGTTTGATAGTGCCTGCAAGCCCCGGTCCTCTTACGAAGAACTTATAGAGCTCACTCTTTGGAGTTTCGGGAGTAGACTCCCCACTACCAGGCGTCGCACTTCCGTCTGTTCCTATACCGCGCAGTGCTGCCTCGAACCCGCGTAGCCACCATTGGTTTGTGTGATCGTGTGTCGTCTTCTTTCCAATGCCATGTGTATTTTTCTTCCGTGCAACAAGAATCGGTTTTGTTAGACCAAGCCCACCGTGTGCGCCTGGCCGTCTAGAAGGGTTTAAAGGGTTCCCCGGGCCTGACCACCCTTGGTTCATTAGGTAGGCTTGAGGGTCCATTATAACGACGGAAAGAAATATCGGTGATAGAGAGGACAAGTTTATGTTTCAGGTCGCATTTTTGGATGATCAGAGAAATGGGTTGTATGGCACAGGTATACGAAGGGTAACTAGCTATGCGATAACTCGATCAAAATCTTTTTTGAAATTTAAACAACTTTGGGAAAAAATTACAGTCACGTGACATAATTTGATCGAGTGCCTGGTGCGAGTTGTGAGTTGAGACTTTTCTATTCAAAATGCGAGATAATTTAAGGTTGATAGTGAAGAAAACGTGAGGATCAAATGTTATTTTTGTTGGATTTTCTTTTAAGATGCTATTGTAGGAAGATTCTCTGAAGACATCAAGCAGAGCGTAGGAAACCAAATAACTAAGCCACGAGCAAAGCAACACCAACGCCATGCTATATTATGAGGGTGCCCAATAACAATCTAAGGTCCTCGGGTCTTTTCTTCCCTTTTTTTTATTCTTTTTTTTGTCAGATGGAGGCCTGTTTGGCAGTTGGGGAAGAGGCAAAACTCTAGGGTCCTCTGATGGTAAAAAATAATTGTCCAGAAAGGCTGAAGGATTAAAACGGGGGAAAGGGACATACAATTTCAAAAATAACGAATCAGTTAAAAGTGAAATTTTTGGGGTCATTCTGACAAAGGAATTTGAAGGAGACGAAAATGTTTGGTACAAAGCGCCAGATCCGATGAAGGGAGAAAGTAGATTAACCAACTGCACGTTGGATGAGGCAACGTAAGTTTTTTTTCGGAAGGTTGGGTGAATCGAAGTGAAAATCGAAGTATTAGTACACTAGAGGAGTTTTATGAAACAAGAAATAAAGATCTAACCCGTAAAGCTTGCTTTACTGGCGTGGGGATCTTCCAGATAGTAAGTATCAGGATTATAATAAAAGCAATACTTGTGTGTAGACTTACGTTGGGTTAAAAGTAGGAGATGTCGGGCTATAGCCTGGAGACGTCGGCCCACCTGGAGAAGTCGGCGAGCCAGAGAAGTTTGGAGAGGTTGGAGAATATGCCTCTGGACTGGTGGGAGACCATCCGGGCGAAGTTGGGGTATACTTCGGGGAGGTAGGAGAGGTTGGTGAAAGATGCCTGCCAGTACCTCCCAACGCTGGGCTGGTTGGGCTGTAACTAGGCGATGTAGGGCTAAAAACAGGCGAGGCCGGACTGAAGCTGGGCGACGTGGGGCTGTAGCTGGGTGATGTAGGAGAGAAACCTGGTGAAGTGGGCGAGTAGGAAGGCGAGGTAGGTGACTGAGCTTGTCCATATCCAGGAGAAGTCGGTGAATAAGCTGGAGAGGTTGGAGCAAATGACGGGCTGGCTGGAGAGAAAGCCGGAGATGAAATGAACCGCGGACTTGTAATGCTCATGCCCGGAGAAGTGGGAGAGTAACCCGACGAGGGAGAATATGCTGGAGAAGTTGGACTGGTATTGAACGGACTGCTGGGAGAGTAGCCTCCTCCAGGACTCCTCGGCTCATGAGGGCTGAATCCACCATAACTTGGTGGCTGGTAATCAGCGAACCCAACAGCATTCTCTGACCCGGCTTGTCTGACAGGTGAAAATTGGGAATCAGGATCAGGGGAGCTGATATACATGTTCTCTTGCATTGGTGAGCCGCTGTCGTACTGGGTAGCGGCACCGTCAGAAAGCATCCCCTTAGGTTCCTCGCCCATCGCTCCTAAGCCTGCATTGTTGGAAACGACGCCCATAAGCATTGACTGATCAAGATAGACATCAAATTCTCCCGTTCCTGCGGGTGCCATTTGACCAAGGATCAGGTTCTCAGACACGCCTCGGCAGTCGTCCAACTCAGCAAAAGCAGCAGCATCAAGAAGGATTTCGACAGTCTCTTCGAAGGAGCACCTCATCAGAGCACCAGTATCTGCACGATTGATACCATGTCGGGTTACAGCCATGAGGAAGCCTCGTGAAGTCATGACATCTACGAGAAGTGCCAAGTGTCGATGGTTGACGTAAGAACCATCGAAGGCAAGCACCTGTGTCAACTCTCTGAGAAGGGCTGTTCGAGTAGCTTCGATACCAAACACTTCAAGAATCTCGACGAATTGGTTAGAATATGTGCGGCTAGCATCAATGCCAGGTATTGCCAACACATCTGCAAGGGCGGAACCACTAGTTTCGAGTACCCATTCTTTACATTCAGGGTCGCTTGCACTTTGATGGAGCGAGCCATCCTCGAGAACTCTAGTTCGGGATTTTTCATTAATGAACGCACGGTCAATACCGGGAACACCACGTAGGGTCAGAGTGTCGAGCAAGTGGCTTTCCAACTTCTTGAGAGTAACATCATATTCCGTGTCATCATCATCTTCGTCTTGCTTTGGATCCTGAATTTGACGAATACGGACGACTTGTTCGTCGGCGTTGTTGTCACTGAAGATAACAGCTATATCCTGGGGGTATGCTTCCTTAATCTTTGTTGCAACATCTTGGACAGTAAGACCCTTGTCTAGAAGTTTTGGTCGACTTAGAATAATACGGAGCAACCACTTTGACTGTCGTGATGAGTCGTCCGCAACATCCTCCGGAATGATGAAGTATGATTCCACCATATCGATATCGTTTTCAATAACGGTTGACTGGATATTGGGATCGTAGTATATCTCAGTTGACTCTGTTACCGATCGTAGACTAGTATGCTCAACAATGCTTCGCAATTGTTTAGCAGATTCTTTGTTCATCCGACACTCTGGTGCTTGATAAACAGTCATAGATGGCGTCTTGATGTTCGTTGCGACGTTTAGAATTTCCTTAAGACGAGGCACACCTAGCGTAACGTTCTTTGAGGACACACCAGCAAAATGGAAAGTGTTGAGAGTCATCTGGGTAGCCGGCTCTCCAATTGACTGGGCAGCCAACACACCAACCATCTCACCGGGATTTGCCGCAGCTTTTCCAAATCGACTCTCAATGGCACCGAGAACATGCTGGAAAGCAAGCTTGTTCAGTGAGTATTCCACAACCAAGCGTCTGAACGCAAGACGTGAACGGAGCTGTGCCTTGAACAAAAGAGTTGCGCTTTCCTGAGCTTCACGGGAGAGAGCATCATCTCCACGGACCACAAGCAAACGATCCAACAGCTGCCTGACTTGCGGAACAACTTCTGCCGGGTGAAGGTCACTAATTGTGCCATCACGAATTCTAAAAGTAGTTTTGGCCGACTCCAAAATTCGCTGGATGTTGATCGGTAATTGCATCATCTCGTCATCTTCCTTAACAACAGTTCGCAAAAAGGCGCGGTCCTTCAACAGTTGTTCCCATTCTTCATCAAGGTGCTTTTGTACCTCAATGTCACCTGCAATCTCTGTCGCCTGCTCCAGGATGTCAGGCGAAAGTAAGCGCTCTGGATCCATGAGGTCAACACGGAACCGATTTCTAAACTGTTCATCCGAGCATTTAATAACGTCAACACGCTGATTTTCAATGCACTGGCCGTCAAGACCATCTTCACCATAAAGAAATTGGACGATATCTCCCAAGGAGTTGCGAACAGTTCCATCGTATTTAACCATGACTTCTTCCAGTGCCTTGACAAGCTTTCGTTGGATATAACCAGTCTCCGCAGTTTTTACAGCAGTGTCAATCAAACCTTCGCGACCAGCCATAGCGTGGAAGAAGAATTCTGTAGGTGTGAGTCCCCGGAGATACGAATTCTCGACGAATCCACGGGATTCTGGAGAATAGTCATCTTTTGTGAAATGTGGCAATGTCCGATATTTAAATCCGAAAGGAATACGTTTTCCTTCAACTGACTGTTGACCGACTACCGCCGTCATCTGAGAAATGTTGATGGTGGAACCTTTAGAACCAGATCGAGCCATTTGAACCGCGTTGTTCGAGTCCTTCAAGCTCTTTTCTGTCGCAGTACCAGCTTCATCACGAGCATTATTCAGAGCACGGGATACCTTGCTCTCGAAGGTTTCTCGAACGTTCATACCAGGAAGAGCCTCCAGAGTGTTTTCCGTAGCACTGGCAGTAATGGAGTCGACTTCTTCCTTTCTGACACGTACTGCATTTTCGATCTTTTGAATAGTTTCCAGATCAGGAATTGTATCACCAATGCCAATACTGAAACCATTGTGAAGGAGCCAGTAGTTCACAACCGCCTGGGCTCCATTGAAGAAGCTCATAGCAGCATCAGGTCCGTATTCGTTGAAGATAGTATGAACAACTCCACCACCCGAAGCACCAACAGTCTTCTTAGAAAACATTCCATACATCAGTTCACCACCATGGACCAAGACACCTCCATCCGCCAGGGGGGAGAACTTTTCTGAAATGGGAGACTTGTCCTTGTCGATTCGAAGCAAGTTTAAGCCAGACGGAAGAACCATACTAATCATCTGTTTTCCACTCCATCTGGGGCGGGGCTTAAGAATTGCAGGTTGAGGAAGAACACCATCCCAGTCCGGAACCCATAAAAGAACATTCATAACTTGCTCCTTCGTTAAGAATACGTCTCGTCGGCAGATCTTATAAATTCCACAAAGAGTGTCTTGGACAATACCCATAAGTGGACCGTTTCTCTGCGGGGATACGATATTCAAAGGAACCAAACATAATTGGTTAAGCTCAGCTCGCGCCTCTTCACTTTGAGGGACGTGTAAGTTCATTTCATCTCCATCGAAATCGGCGTTGTACGGGGTCGTGACAGACAAATTCAGTCGGAAAGTGGAATATGGCATAACACGAACACGATGGCTCATCATAGACTCCTTGTGAAGGGATGGCTGACGGTTGAAAAGGATGAAATCGCCATCCATGAGGTGACGCTCAACTTTCCATCCCCATTGCAGGAAGTTTCGGCCACCACCACCCTTATGATGTCGAAGATCAATACGTTCACCAGAGCTACGAATGACATAGCGTGCACCTGGATGAACATCTGGACCATTATCGACAAGTTGGCCTAGTCGATGGATGTTGTAAGGTGTGACCACCTCAGGGTATGTCAACGTCTGCGCAAT